TTCTTTATATAATATCCAGGCTGCATAATTTGTTTCAATTACCTTTTTATATCAATTTAACAAACTTAGTAGATACATAAACATAAGTGATTTGGTAAAGATTGGGAAGAACTTTTACCAGAGATCAGTTAAGTCAGTCGAAGGTCCCAAGATTTTACAATCACAATTGAATTGGACAAATCAGTCTTCACGACCTTGAATAATTTATATAAGTATTGAAATATCTTCGTTTGCCAATAGATTATAACATTTTATACATGGTTACGATTTGCGTACAAATTAAAACAATCCTCTTGATTTGAACCTTTGAGCGAATATTATTTATTGTGATGTCACTTCCTTCTTCGGCTAAACTAAGGTCAGTTAACCCATAGTTAAGAAATCCGTACAAATTAAAACTATGTTCCTGATTAATTATGCATGGCGATGAAGAATTTTCAAGCTGATACTATTTATTGTGATGGCACCTTTTCTAAATATCTCAAAATTATTAAATGTGTCATAATTCCTTCTGTGACTGAATTATAGATATCATTTTATTTAACATTCGGTATTGATCTTCGAAGAAAAATAATTAAGTAGCCAAATAGATCCAAAATTAAAAAAAAAAATTGTTGAAGTATGAAGTATTCATACTTTGCATCCGTTTCAAATTTGATATTTGGTTAATAATGTAAATCTAGGGCGGTTTCTTCTATTTGGTCGAAAACTACTTTGAGTAGTTCACAATCATAAAGACATAAATGTCCTTGACTGGATTGGAACTAACTTCTATTTGGATGTTCCAAATAGTTTGGCATCACAATGAGCATTATAAATCACATTTCCTTTTCATTGTCACAACAAATAGACCAAGAAAATTGTAATGTAAATAAATCATAATTACGGAGACTATCGAAATCAAAATTGTATATGAAATACTGTCCATTATACACTAAATCCTCGTGTTATGCATTTGTCTCAATCGAAGTTAATTCCTTCCATGACTATGCTTCTCTTCAAATATTCATATTGTCTGTCGTATTCAAATAAATGAGTCATTATAGTAAATATTAATCATATTGCTTGCTATCTTGTTTCACTTCCAAAAATACTTAATTGTTCTGGTTCCGATAGATTCAATTTGGTTATTATATTATCGTTAGTTATTGTTGAACCTCAATAATAGTGGTTTTACTTCAATTCAGTCATTATCTCTTGTTTCATGTACTTAATAATTTTTCATTCTATTTATAATTCTCCTATTACCATAATTTATTATCTTAACATTTCCTATTATTTTCTTTAAAAATTTCATTTTCTTTTCTTAGTTATTTATTTTATTTCCAAATTTGTTTTGTTAGCATTCAACAAGTTTCTTCGTGACTGCTATATATTTTAACTAACTTTACATATTCAAAGACTAAATCACACATTATTTAGTTTTATTATCACAACATTGATTTCGAAAAAAATCACAATTCAAGAAAACTACCGACAAATTTACGATACATTACATACTGCATTATTAACGCGTTGGTTTTTTTAGATTTATTTTTGCTTAACAAGAAACTCATGAGCAAATAAAATTATATGTAACATAGTAGCACACGTAACTAAACAGCTCAATATCATCCGGACGATTTAAAAAATAATTTAAAAAAATGACACATTCTAACAATTTTCTAGATTTACTAAAACACGAGTTATGCTTTTTATGTAGTGGATTGGCATGCAACACTCTACCAAATAGAAATAAGAAATTGAAAAAAAAACAATTATTCAAATTTAATATATTTACCAGGAAGTAAATATCTTTCAGCTTATGTTTTCAATACAAAAGCTTTATATTTTTTAAATTCAAGATATATAACTTGATGTTGCCTTCTACAATTCTAGTATTCTATTTACATGTTTTGGATTTTGAGTTCTCTGCATGGTGCACCACTAGTGCTACAACCTGGTAATACTTTAATTGCATGTATTACCTTGATAAGATTTCCATTAAAAAAATTGTCATAGGAGTTATTGTTTCACTCATCTTCAGTTGAATTTTGGACAAATAATGAAATTCTTCGCGTCAAACAGGCAGCCTGCATGGGATGACGTAATTTACGATAAGGAGGATAAATGTGGACATATACCTTGTTCGTGAACTCTTAATGCCCAGAAAACAAACTATTTCTCCATTGAAGGTTCATAAAATGATTAAGGGGTGTAAGCCCCTTCCTGATACTGTGAAATAGTAAAAATTGTTACGGGGAGGTGTATAATTAATCAAATTCAAATCATAAACTAATTAAAGTATATGAAGCGAGGGCAGAGTTCACATCCTGTGTTGATAGTGAACAAGAGAAAAACGAACAAATAGAGGATAGCCCCAATATAGAGAAAGATACATTATTTAATATCTTTATATCATATCATTCAACAAAACATTCATGTTAATATTTATTGCAGAAGTAATATGTGAAATTGAACATGGAGAAGTAGAGGAGAGTCCCAATATGGAGATGGGTACATTATTTAAAATTTATATATTTAAACTATTTATTAAAATCTTTTAAATTCCAATAAACAAATTCATTCGTCTCAATATATATGTAGCAGAGAACAAGTTGGATAGTATCGTAAACAAACTATCCAAATTATCCTTTGAAATTAATGAAATGACGAAGGACATAAGGGAGCTGTTGTCCTATGAGAGGGATTCCGGTCACAGGTAATCCGGTCACAGGTAATTATAATTAATGTCAAGTTGTTCAGCTGCGATGGACGCCTAAAATACTGAACCGATTTAAAATTTGTTTTGCTCATCGTGTACATGTGGATTCCATTTAGGCGGTGGGGTATATTAAATATCTCAATTTATAGCCAAAATTTTATATTATATGAAAAATATTTTGACGTTTCTCCGATAAATCCTAGAATCACAGAATCAGTTTGAGCTCTGGCGAGAGTCTAGAAAGTCTAGACCAGTGTATCCCAACGTGGAGCGCACGCGCACCGGGGGGCAAATTGTAAATTCAGGGGGACAATTTGAAAATTCTGGATACTACATTTACTTTTTTGCTTCAAAATACTTATTAGATTTTACAAAAAAAGAATTATTAAATATAATTTTGTTTGCCATAAAAGAGTCATTTATCTCAATTTTAAACGAAGAATTCGCACTTTAAAATGAGCACACTAGATTTATCTGTATTGGTTTCTATAAGTGAAGTTCAAATCAGTAGCTAGGATCGGGGAATTATCGCAAAATTTGCCGTATGTTACGAAAAACCCCGAAAACTTGAAGCCTTCTTTAGTGTTTCCCATCATTCAGTCGGTGTTAAATTGAAGTAAGTGTTGATTCATTAGAATTAATCGTTGAGTTAATAAATAAACGTTAGTGTTGATTTGTGAGTGAAATAGTTAGAATTAATCATTGAGTTTATAAATATACTCAAGTGTTGATTTGTGAGTGAAATTGTTAGGATTAATTGTTGAGTTAATAAATATACTTATAATATATTGTTAATATATTATCAATTGGTGAGTAGTCCATTTTATTTATAGAAGCATTCAATTATACAGAAATTTCTGTCAAGTAAAAAAAAAATGAGATAATGCAATAGGATAGGGCGGGGCACAAAGGTCCAATTTGACTTGGAGCAATTATATTGTAAAAATCAAACCAATTATCACAACACATATCAAACAAACAACTATCTGACTAAGTTCAGGAAAACTTCCTGCTAATTCATCATTGTAGAAATGTGTCTTTTGTTTTTCAAATATTCGTAACCTGGTTCTTTTTACTTTAATAGCGGAGTGAATTGGGACTGCCGTTGAGTAAACAGGTCCAATGATTTAATTTTATTTTGAAGAAATTTTACGAAATAATAGCTACAATATTCAATCAATACAAAAAATAAATTTTATGGGTTAAATTTTTATAGAGAAAACTTTAAATAACCTTTGTATGGTTTTTGTTAGAAATATTCACTAGCAAAGTTGAATTAACTATTCATTTAATTTAACTCTTGTTGAATTAAAAAAATTGCTTTTATAACTTAATTTACTATTTTATTTTTTATACCTTTTCCAGAGTAAAGTTTCAGTCGTTTTTTTTACCCACGCAGGTATAAGCTTTTATAGAGGTTGTATAAAAAAGACTGTTGACCATTAATATTTTTCCTCTGCGTATACGTTTCTTCTGCCATATTTAAATATTTTTAACACATATTTTCAAACAGTTTTATAATATTTTTTAGCTCACAATAAAATGAGTGGAACAAGTAAGAGAAAAACTCGTCAAAGCGGATTTAAAAGCGGATACCCTTTTGTCTTATGTCATCAGTGTTTGAGCAACGAATCAATGAAACCAGGTCGTCTTGAGGCACATTTGAAGGCAAAACATCGTGATCATGTAAATTCAGATTTGAATTATTTTAAAACTTTAAAAGGAAAGTTTGAGAAAAGAACATCATTGCCGTCTCTATTTACTGCACGGTCTTCAACAAACAGTCGTCTTCTTGAGGCGAGTTATCAAATTTCATTATTAATTTGCAAAAGTGGAAAAAACCACACTATAAGAGAAAATTTGATAAAACTATGGCGGAATACATTATGTTTCATGACAGAATGACACCAATGTGATGACAAAACTACACAGCATACTTTGGGCTACGCTGATGCGAATGTCGCATCTAGCAAGCTTTGGCTAGATTATTGTTTTTTCACGATCGAAAAATGGTCTCGCGGTTTTTGATCATCGATCAATTTTCGGGCTAAAAATTGATATCAAAATTTATATAATATCAGTTTCATTGTAAATTGAGTTATGAATAAACTCACATTATCAACGAGTCTACATCAGTTAAATGCGGTTAATTTCAAGATATAATTAATTAATAATAAATGGCCCACTAGCGCCATAAAACCATTAATTTCAGCATTTCTTAAAACAGTTTTAGAAAAAGATGGCACAGAAGTGAAAGCACCTCAGTAATAATGCTGCTTGCAGAAGGATAGACGAAATGAGTGACGATATTGAAAACCAATTAATTGATAAGTTAAAAACCAGACATTTTTCAATACAAATAGATGAATCGACCTTGAGAGACAGTGGGGCTGTATTGCTGGCATATGTACAATTTATTGATGCAGGGCAATTTTCTGAAGAAATGTTATTCTGCGAAAGACTGGAAGACACTACTAAATCCCAAGACATATATAATAAGTTAACAAACTATTTAGAATTGAAGAACATATCTATGAAAAATATAACATCTTGTGCTGTAGATGGTGCTCCTAACATGATGGGCAAGAAAAATGGCTGCTTGAAATTGATTAAAGATATAAATCCTGAAATGGTTATTGTGCATTGTGTAAATCATAAGGAACACTTAGTTGTAAAAAATATCTCGCCTGTTCTAAATGAGGTATTACATGCAGTTATAAAATGCATTAATGCTATTAAAGCCAGTGCCAAATCTGAACGTCTTTTTAGGCTGTTTTGTGAAGAGCAAAATGAAAGCTATGTGAGACTTTTGCTTCATACTGAAGTAAGATGGCTTTCCAAAGGAAATTGCTTAAATAGATTTATGCAACTCTTCGATGTTTTAAGTGAATTTTTAAATGACAAACCTGAAATGAAGATTTTATTAACTATCGATGGTAAAGCGTTTGTAAGTTATTTAACAGATATATTTAAAAATTAAATATATTAAATAAACAACTCCAAGGACCAAATAAAACACTTGTCGATGCGAAAGCGAAGATATTTGGTTTCATTACAAATATTGAATTGTATATAAAACAAGTTAGCAACAGAAATTTCTTGGAATAAATATTTATAATAAAGTAAACGAATAGCTCAAAGCACAAAGATTAAAATGGGAAAAGTGCAATTTGGTGTCTTTGGATAAAGCTTCAGCTATGCTGGGTCATATTTATGGTTTTTCAGTTTTTGTAAGGGGAAATAACCCACACTCATGATGTTATCAAGATTATAAATTTTATCAAGGGACATGCACTAAATACGCGGCTATTTTGTGAATTATGTCAGGATAGTGAAGCTGAGACCTGCCTCCATTATTATACAGAAGTAAGATAGCTCTCTCGCGGTAATATTTTAAATTGAGTATGGACTCTTAAAAATGAAGCTGAAATCTCTAGGGTTTTTCAAAAAAATATTGTTGCTGAAAATTTTAAAAACTCTTCCTCAGTGGCATATTTCGCATATTTAGCAGACATTTTTGAGAGCATAAATATATTAAAGAATTACACGAAAAGCATATTAATACTTTTTCAGCGAATATTGGAGGCAGAAAGTAGAAGAGAACAAGATAGCATCTTTTCCAAGGTTAGCTTTGTTTTTGGAGAATTGTAAAAAAATTACTTCACCTGGTAGAACTTTCCAGATCTGGATACACGTATTGTGAGTGGATTGTAGATCTTTTTAAATGTGAAACTTTCATGATACCGGAAAAACCAGCAGGTTTGGCAGAATCAATTCTGGAAATTCGTTTAAATACCGAAGCACGTATTGAATTTGGAAGTGAACAAAATCTGTCATGTTTTTGGATGTCAAAAGCTGCAAAGAGTTTTGAAATAGCACATGAAGAAGCGGTGAGAAAAATGCTTCCATTTGGAACCACATATTTGTGCAAAACTTTTCCAGTCTGATAAACATAAAATCGAGGAGAAATAGATTGAATGCCGAAGATTGTATTAAAATTGCTCTGACATGTTAAAGTCCGGATTTTGAAGAAATTGTGTCAAAGATGAAGCAATACAATTTCTCCAAATCGTAATGTTCTTACATTACATGTATGCGTGTTTATTGTCACTTGTGGCATTAGTTATAGTAATGGGCCAAACATCAAAAATGAAAATTTTTCCATTTCTTCACGTATCAGAGGTTTTTGAACATTTTGCCATACCTCAGAAAAAATGGATGTATGTGTGTGTTTTGTGTGTCCGCATTTTTTCGTTCAGGTTTTCGGGCGCACGGATTAACCGATTTGAATGGTTTATTCAACATTCGGTTCCTATTGATGCGGAGATATGCTGATTAGTATTTGGCAAAGGCAGGACCAGCCGTTACGAAGATACGGAGTAAAGAGTGCAGAAAATAGAAATCAAGTTTTTTAGAGAACGGAGTGTCGCATTTGAGTGATCAAAAAACATTCAATTTGTAATGATTGGAAGAAGTAGTGCTTAGGTTTTGGCAAAGACACGTCCAGTCATGCCGAAGATACAGAGCTAAATGTGCAAAAAATGGCTGTTTTTGAGAGAACTAAGCGTCCGATTTAAATGATTCAAAGAACTTTCTGCTTGTCTTAACAAAATAATTGATTTTGGAAAAAAAAATTTTGTTCCAATTTTGTTCCAATTTTTTTTTTTTTAATTCTGACTATAGTTCTAATATACTTTACAAATAATTTCAACTCTGCAATTCAGTTTATATAATTCTTATAAATATTAGACAATGTTACAATATTTATAATAATCTATTTGAAAACATTCAGTATTCCACGAACATTTCGTTACGGTACGGGAAGTTCCAGCAATTTGCCATAATTGCCTCAAGACAATTCCACTTACAGCTAGTTTACATTATCTATGGTACCTACACTCTCAGTAACGTGATCTTTGTTGTATGTACACTTTTGTTGTTTGGATTCGAAAGCCATTTATCGTTTGGAGCTCTGTGATATTTATATTTGTTGTGCGCTGCAGTAATTTACAACTGAAATTATAATCCGCTGAAAAATATTTTTTGTGCTAAATCAGGTAATTATTTACAAATCAATTGGTATAGCTAGTAGTTTCTGCTTGTATTTTTAAAAGTATTTTATTTATTGATTTAGATTAGATGCCAGCCCTAAATCCTACAGAAGAATAACGTGTTTCTTTTTTTCTATTTCAAGTGTTACGATTTCGAACAAGATGAGTAACATAAGTTCTGATGAAGATACAAGAAGACTCAGGCTAAAAAGCCGAAACTTTATGCACGTAGAAAGCAAAAATTTTTGAGAGAATGGGTGAATGATACCAAGTTCAACACGTGGTTAATGCCAGATGTATCAGACAAGTTTAAAGCTAGATGCAGATTATGTAATACATCCTTCACTGCTGAGCTCACGATAATTAAAAATCATGGCAAATCTAAAAGTCATTTGTCATCAATCACTTCGGCTTCGAATCAAAAATCAATTCAATCATTTACTCAAAAAAAAAGTGGAAACATCATTTGATAACAAAGCAACACGTGCAGAAATAAAACTTTGTGAATTTCTAGCTGAGCACAATCTTCCTTTTCGGTTAATGGACCACCTGACACCTCTTTTAAAAGATTGCTTTACAGATTCAAAAATTTGCCCAGGATTTGAGGTTAAAATCATCAAAGTCTGCTGCTGTAGTGTCAAACGTAATTGGAGCAACTGAAAAAGAAGATTTATCTATAAAGATAAGAAATGTATTATTTAGTGTTCTAAATGACGAGTCAACTGACATTTCTAGGACACAAAATTTATGCATTATTGTTAGATTTTATGATGCTGAGCCAGGCAAAATCACCAGTCGCTTCTGGGTGTTGTATCAGATTTTTAATGAAGAAGATAAATCATCTGAAGCATCAGCAAAATATATTTTTAACTGCGTTGAAAAATCTTTTCAAAAATACTCAGTTCCACTCACAAATATCATAGGGTTTGGATCAGATGGGTGTGATACTATGATGGGGGATAAAAATTCAGTAAGAACACGATTTGAGCAGAGATGTCCTGGAATTTACATAATGAAATGCCTGTGTCACTCATTACATCTCTGCGCAAGTAATGCTTGTTCTGAATTACCCCCAGAATGTGAAAAATTACCACAGCTGGTTCATAATCATTTTTCAGTGAGCTCAAAACGCCAATATGCATACAAAAGAATTCAATCGATATTGGATTTGAAACAGCATAAAGTTTTACAACCTGCTCAGACCTGCTGGTTACCATGGTTATTATGGTGGTAGAACGAGTGGGAGGCATTAATTTTATATTTCAATCAATTAAATTATAAAGAGGAATACAGGAAGATGAGTAATAGGAGGAAAGATGATAGTGATGGAACAGATGAAAATGAATCTGAAGTTGCAAGAATACTTCAATACTTGCGAAATCCCATAATAAAGCCTTACTATCATTTTTTATTATGGATTTTACCTAACTTCACGAATTTAAACAAGTTATTCCAGTCCGAAAACCCTATTATTATGTCAGTTCATAAGAAAAGTAGTGTGACATATTTGGATTTATTAAAAACATATATGAATGATGACTACGTAAATAAAACACCCATATATAATATTAAACCATCGGATCAGACTAAATAAGAATATTCAAAATATTTATGTTGGAGTAAAAGTTTTTAAATATTTTAACCAAGCAGACTTTTCAAAACATCCTCGTTTACAAGAAAAATTGCATTTTCTTGCAAAATTCAGGAAGTTTATAATTCGAAGATGTGAAGAAATAAAAAAACGATTCGATTTCAATGATACTATATTGAAAAATTTATCAGTAAAGAATCCTGCGGACGCAATGAATGGTAAAACAGTAATCACTACGCCAAGTTTGCTACCATTATTGAGTAAACTGCCCCGATTATTAAACCCAAGTCAAAGTCAAATTATTGATAATGAATGGCGAAGATTCCATTATTTTGAATTGCCGGATGACATTAGTAAAATTTTAATTTACAAAGATAAGGAAGAGGTTTGGAGTTTTGAAAACTTAGCTAAATTTTTCTTAAATGTTATGTCATTACCTCATGCTAATGCCGAATGTGAGCGAATATTTGCAAGATTGGATTAATAAAATGCCAAACACGCAACAAATTGGTAACTAATACACTTAACGGGCTATTGTTAAGTAGTCAGCGAATCAACCATAACTGCGTTGGTTACGAACCATCTAAAGATGAATTTTGTAAAATGAAGAAATCTTTATATGCTACTTCCACAAGCAATAGTGAAAGCCACTCTATTGATACTAATACCAGTGATGCTGACCAACCAAACGTCGATCTGGATGACATATCATATTTTAGTTAAAAAAAAATTGTATTTGTTGTATATAATATTATATATAAGATTTATAACTGTATAAATGTCATTTAATAAATAAAAAAGTAAATCGTCTAATTTTAATTTTAACAAACGTCAAAAAAACTACTCATTTTCTCCAACTTTGATGAATTTTTAAAATTAAACTACTTGTCGTAAGGCCGTATTATTTCAGTAAGTTCTATAAGACCATGATATATATCGCCAAAAAAATTCCATAAAATTCGATTTTAATTTTTTTGCAACAATTAATTACAAGAAAACGGTTCGATAGATTTTCACCTAAAACTAAATGTAGCACCAACTAAAACTAATCCGTATCATTCCCAAATAATATCTTTTAAAAAGTTTTTGATTTTTTAAAATCGATTCGGTAGTATGAGCTTAAATATAGACGAAAAGCATAGCTGGGCATTAACTCGTTAATCCGTTAATCGTTAATTAACGAAGTTAACATTTTGATTAACGGATTAACTTTTAAGTTAACTTTTAAAAATGTTAACGGACACGTTAACTTCCGTTAAAATGCCAGAAGTCCGTTAATCGTTAATACAATGCCTACTATTTACCGCACGGCACCGCAAAATTTGGACCACTCCTGAATGCCGCGGCATTTCACCCAAAGTTCCGGTTGATATGGCTGGAAACGTATGACAGCAGTAGAGTGGATGCAGTAAGAAAATGCATGGAAAAAAAGGTAGAAGATGCCTTATGGCAAGAAGCAGCGAAAAATTCGAAGGACAGAGATAGTTTAAGTGGCGGAGGGAGCAATGCGAGTAACAACGATGATGACGAGGAGGATGACTTTTTCAATTCTGTCACTCAGTCTATAGAAAAACCAAAGACCTTCAACTCTTTAGAGAATATAGCGCAAAGTCTCGTTAGAATGTGGCTGGATATAAAATCAAAAGACTCGTTCAACGATGGTGCATTCCTCGGGGAACAGATATTCATAAATCTATTTATTAAATACAATAATGCTATACCCTCAAGCGCTGCAGTTGAACGTTTGTTTTCCACGGGTAAAGACATTTTGACACCAAAACGAGCCTCGCTTTCAGACGAGAACTTCAACATGCCCGACGCGCGTTTCCTATTTTTCGAAAAAAAACTCTTTCTCTTTATTTAGAAAATTAGTTGGTATTGGTATTTAGCCTTGAGGCAGGTTACATAAACTTCCCGATATGTGTAAATAATCGACTTAATAAACAAATTAATTTATGAGTGATTAGAAGTATTCGAGGATTTATTAGACATAATTGAAAACGAACGAACAAGTTAACTCGGAGCATTTTCTAAAAGCAAATTTTCACTAATCAATAATTTTTATAATTAAACCAGTTTTCGTAGGACGTTAATGGTTTAGTACGTTCATTAAGACCAAATAATCTATCGTTATACAAAGTAAATCATCTAATTTTAATTTTAACAAACGTCAACAAAACTACTCATTTTCTCAAACTTTGATGATTTTTTAAAATTAAACTACTTGTCGTAAGGCCGTAATATTTTAGTAAGTTCTATAAGACCATGATATACATCGCCAAAGAAAGTTTCATAACAATCGGCTTAAATTTTTTTTTCAACAGTTAATTACAAGGAAACGGCTCGGTAGATTTTCACCTAAATGTAATCAGTATTATTCCCAACTAATATGTTGCGAACAGTTTTTTATTTCTTAAAATCGATTCGATATAGAATGAGAATAAAAGTGGACGAAAAGTTTAACACTCTTTTTTAAATTACAAAGAAACGGCTCGGCAGATCGTCTCACAAAACTGACAAAATATGGTACTCATTGAGATACATCGAATGGCTTTTAAATTTCTAAAAACGGTTCAGGCATTTTTGAGCAAACGTCGATGAAAGGTCTAATTTTGACAAATGCCAAAAAAACGATACCATTTTTTGCAAACTTTGACGAATATTTAAAGCTAAACGAGTTGTCGTAGGGCGGTAATATTTTAGTATGATCTAGAAGACTATGATATTAATTATTAAAGCGCGTCGCGCTATTTTCCTTATACACACGGAAGTGTGCATAAAACGCGCGAGGGGTTAAATTAAACATTTGAATTATACAAGTATTTTGTTTTATTCATAACCTGTTAACTTCCAGAACCTAAACCAATAAGTTTGTTTTTTAAGTTCACTAACGCAATGATATAAAAAGGTAATTTTACATATATTAACGGATTAACGATTAACGTTAACTTGCGTTAATTCTTCCGAAATGTAACGCTTTAACGTTTAACGAAGCTAACTTTTTTTGTAGCGGATTAACGATTAACGAAGTTAACTATTTGATTAACGGTGCCCAGCTATGACGAAAAGTTTAACAATTTTTTCCAAATTACTATTTTCGTCGATTTTTTTAAATTAAACGACTTGCCGTAGGACCCTAATATTTCAGTATGACCTATAAGACTGTAGAGACAGACCCTGCAATTGACCACCATAGGAATGGTGGTAATCGCCAATAGAAAACATCCAAGTGATTAAGGTTAGGGTATATAACTTAACTTAGACCCATGATCGAATACCTATTCACTTATCACTTGTATTGTAACAATATTACATTCCGCCGCGCATTGCAGAAATCGTATTGTTTAAATTCAAAGGTAAGTAGTATTTGTTAATATCGTCACGTTTATATTGTCACGAGTGACTCGTTTTCATAGGTATCTTATTAGTTAACTTTTGTTTTGGGTACCTACAAGTGTTTTTGACATGGTTTCTACTCCATCTGGCAAAAAGCGCACTTATAAAGAAGCATTTCTACAATGGGGTTTCACAAGCATCACAGACGAAAATATAGAAAAGCTTCAGTGTGTTTTATGTAATAAAGTCATAGACCTTATACAATACATGGACTGCTAGTTAAGCGCATAAAAAGTGTCAAAAGATGTTCTATGGTATGAGGGCATACGAGGGTAATTTTGCGGCCAAGATATGTCAAATACGAACACGAGCTTTACCGAGATTAGTCGAATGCACTCGATCGCTTAAATTTTACAGTTACTTGGGTTCACGTGATGTTTGATCGCTCGGGTTTTTAAACTAAAAGAGGATAAAAATATACCTGTTGTAAAATTGTTAAAAGTAAAATGTCTTCTAAAATGTGTTTGGTCTGTGGTAAAGTTCCTAATTGCAGTAACACCTGTTCTGAATGCTTCGCAAGTATTCCGGGAAATTCGACATTCATCGATATAAAAAATCGAGGATATCTTTCATATCCTTCCGATGAAATGTTTAAATTATATTTATATATAGAAACCCTAATTCGAAATTCTTTAAATTTAATGTACAAAAGTTCATATGAAAGCACGATTCTCCAAAAGTTGAATGACTTGCGACTTGCACATTTTTTTAGATCAAGCCATTTCCAGCAATTTGTCCAGCACTATCATGACCTTATCAACTTTGTCGCAAAAATGTATTTAACAATTAGAATGCACCATGAAGAACATAAAAAAATCAAAGTTGCTAAATATGTACGCCACTTTCACACAAAAATTGTGCTTTTTAAACACCAATAATAAATATATTACATTTAAACAAATATTTCATTATTGCTTTCTAATTTTCCACAATAGCTCTAGCCAACTGTTCTTATTTTCAGTGAATTTTATAATATGTAAAATATTTTTTTATTTTCTTTTCTTATTTTCCTTAAACACTTTGTATAACGAAAATAAATAACTAAATATATAAATAGTACATTACATTCATTGGTTTAACATAAATTGTATATTATATAATATTTTCCCAACAATTTCGAACACACGGACTTTCATTTGACGTTCAAGCGATCGAGTTTGACATTTTCGGCCGCGAAATTACCCTCGTATGCCCTCATACCATAGAACATCTTTTGACACTTTTTTACTTGAGAAATGTATGGGGAC